TTTTATTCAAAAGTAAAATCAAAACTACATAAATCGTATTATATTAACAAAGATAAAAAAATAAAATAAAAAATTAAAATAAAGATGTATCTCGTTGTATTGCGTAAATACTCTTCTAGTATTAATAATATAAATAATAATATAATCTTAAAAATAAAGAATTCAAAGAATATAATTTTTTTTGAAATTTAAAATTTTAATTATTTATTTTGAATAATTTATTAGAAATACAGTAATTTGTTAGCAATGATTTAAACTGAAAAGAAATGAAAGAAAACGAATAAAAAACGCCCCCAACCCCAAGGTGAGGTGGGTCAAGGACCGAACGGTTATACCTGGTCCGACTTCTTGCCTTTGGTCACCTGTAGGACTATAATCTTGGTCTGTACTCTGTAGCTGTTTGAATTTCATTAAGCCCAGTTTATATAGATAAGTTGCAAAGCCCAACGCTAATTTAATTCATTGAGGGTGTGTTTGGTACACTGGACATGACATGACATAACATGACAGAGATCTTTGTACTATGCTTGGCATGAATTTTATGTGGAACAGACAGGAACATAGTGGAACAGGCCTGTTCCACTCCTACCCTATAAAACATGGTGGGACAAATTTATATTTTACCAGTATAACCTCAAAATAAAACTTAATTCTCTTCTAAAACATCAAATATGTCTTTTTTTTTTACATTTTATTCATTCTTTAAATTTTATTTGTATTTTATGTTTCTTAAACTTTCATTTTATCGTTTTAAAAATATTATTTTTATATGGTTTTTATATTTTATTAATTTATGTAATTTATTATATATTAATAATAAAAAAAATAATGTAGAAAAGAGATAAAAATACAAATAGAAAACTACATAAACTTTTATTTGGTGTCATTTTAATTGTTTTGACGAAAACTTCAAATGGTGTATTTGTTATAAAAAATAATTATTCTATTATAATTTAATAAATTACGTAAATTAATTAAAATAAACAACTCAACAGGGGTAAATTTGTCATTTTACTTGTTCTGTTCTGTCCAGTTTTATCTTACCAAACGTTGAACAGTTGTTCTATCCTGTTCTGTTCTGTCATGTCTTGTCTGGGCACCAAACACACCCTAAGAGGTTGTTTGTTTACTCTCAATAGTTCAATTACAAAGCATCTTCTGAATCGTTAAGAGGAAAATCATGTTTGGAAAAAAAAAATTGTCTCTTAATGGTTCTAAAATACTTTGAATGATTTTATATCATGGGCCTATCTTAAACCCTTAAGCGCCATAATTTCATTGTAAACAATTACCAAACAATTATATTTTATTTTGCATTATATCATAAGAGCATCTTAACCATTCTGATCACTTAATCAATTATGCACCAAATCGTTCAACAACTGCCAAACAACTCCTAAGCGTAGTTTACCGTGCTTTAATTAAAGTCGAGAATCCTTATCTAATTTGATTAACTATTGCTAAGTATTTTGTTAGAGTTAATTAAATTATTTTACCATTAGTTTTATTATTGGAATTTTAAGTAGACATATGTCACATAATAACAATTATAAACCGTTGGTTGATGGCTTAAAGTCTCTTGTCCCACTAGACTCTCGAACTGATTCTTAACTTATATCACACTTCATAAACTCATCTCACCACTCATTACATAAATTCTCAAAAGTAAGTGTTTTGCAACTCTTTTCGAATGTTAAAATAAATATTCTTTTACAAACTCAATACTTCTGAACTTTTTAATATAAAAGTATCTTCATGAACCGGTGAGTGTGAAACAACTTTGACCTTACAAGTATTTCAAGGATGATGTCTTTTACTGATAAGCATAAAATAAAGTATAAACAACCTTAAAGAAATTTCAATTATATGTAATTTTGTGGCAAATATTTCGTAAAAGATTACATAAAAGCTGGTTAAGGCGTTGTTCGGTTCAGTTTCTATTAAGACTTGTATGGATAAAGTTGTCTGTATTGATTAAATTGTTAGTATGATAACAAATAAGTTCTTGTTCGATTGTTCTGCCAAATAAACAGTCTGAATGTAAAAAATGACCATTTCACCCCTAGGTTTTGATTTGATTTGATTTCAGATTTGGATTTTAGGTTTGATTTTGATTTAGGCCGAAGAAGATGACCAAAGGACATTTGAGTTTAGGCCATTGGAGATGGAAGATGGTCGAGATAGAAATCGATTTTCTGGTTAATAAAGGAAATCGATTTTCTAACTAACAAAAATCAGAGAGAAATCAAAAATCAAAAATTGCCCATCGATTGATCGATGAAGACGAAATCACAGATCACATAAATCAATTAATCTAGGTTTAGAGAGAAAGCAACATCGATCAATCGATTACCGAACGAATAGTTATGATTAAGCGAATAAATAAAGGCTATCCACCACTTAAGTGAATTTTGAGTCACCAAACAAATAAGGCTTTGAAAGCTTCTCCTTCCCCAATTGACACTTCTTTCACACGTATTTTACTTAGTGAGACACCACGCAGCATTCATTAAGATCTGTATGGCAACCTCCCCCATTTTCAACGCACAGATCTGCAATATCTCTCCCATTTTTTGATCAACAAACTTAACACCACATTGCTGCTCATATACCCCAATTTCTTTTTCTTTTTTCTTTGCATAGCAAATGGGTGCGTACAGAGCAGACGATGATTACGATTACTTGTTCAAAGTAGTTCTCATCGGTGATTCCGGAGTTGGGAAATCGAATCTGTTGTCCAGATTCACACGAAACGAGTTCAGTCTCGAGTCTAAATCAACCATCGGCGTCGAATTCGCCACTCGTAGCATTCGAGTTGATGAGAAAGTTGTGAAGGCCCAGATTTGGGACACCGCTGGCCAGGAACGGTACGATTCAGATCTCGAAAACACTTGAGTTTATTTTTTCTGTTGATTTTCAAATAATGTTGACGAATTATTATTTTGTTCAATGCCGGCATCTTATTTTAGAAATGAAGGGTTTACCTAGGATCTTAGGGTTTTGAATCGAAGTCAGTCAATGGCATTTGAGATCTGGGCTTTTGTAGGTTTTGCTTTAGTAAATAACTGTTCTGCTATTAGATCTGGAGTTTGCAGCTTTGCATCGTGGCTGTTTGTGTGTAAATTATCGATCTTTGACATCAAAATGTTGCAAATTGTGAACTTTTTGTATATAAGATCGGTGACTGCATAACTGCATTAGAAATGTACTACAGATGGAGTCATAATGATGATACAATATCAGCAAAATCATCTTCAAACTTGTAAATGTATGTTAGTGACTGATTCAATTTGAGCATATAGAGAAAACAGACCTTCTTGTTGGGGCATAAGTTACTTTTGGGGTTTCTAGATTGAACTTAGGTTATGAATCTATTGAAAAATGTTGAAACATGAAACATAATGTTATTGTGTAGGATCTAGAAAGTGTTATGGAAGTTGATGTTGATTGCCGTTGGTTACAAATGATGTAACACATGGTAACCTAGTGCATTGCAATGGATGAGCTGTGAAAAAAGTAAACTCCGCATCTATAGCATTTTATGATAATGGTGGTGATCGAAGTTGTATAAAGACAAAAACCCTAGACTTAGAAGCCTTATATGTCAGCAATTTGATTTAAGGATGCAAACGGTTCTCACTTCACCAAAATTTATCATAGCCAAAACACCAAACGAACCCGGTATTATCCCATTCAAAAGCAGAACCTGAGATGTGGGATATACACCGATTTGTCCTCTACCCTAAAGAGTAAGCAGTTCATATGTATATTTGTGCTGAATCATGGAGTTTGTAGTTACTGCATACTGTAAGCATCTTCTTTAGTTCTAATAATTTTTCATTTTATTTGATCTTTTTCTTCTAAAAGATACCGAGCAATCACAAGTGCATACTACCGAGGTGCAGTTGGTGCATTGATCGTGTATGATGTAACCCGACATGTGACCTTTGAGAACGTAGAACGATGGTTAAAGGAGCTCCGAGATCATACAGATTCCAACATCGTCATCATGCTGGTAGGAAACAAGTCGGATCTGCGCCATTTACGGGCTGTACCAACCGACGATGCAAAGGCGTTTGCTGAAAAAGAGAACACTTACTTTATGGAAACATCTGCACTTGAATCCATGAATGTTGAAAATGCCTTCACAGAAGTCCTTACTCAAATCTATCACGTTGTCAGCAAAAAAGCACTCGATATCGGAGATGATCCAGCTGCTTTGCCAAAGGGACAGACGATTAACGTTGGTGGCAAGGATGACGTATCGGCATTGAAGAAAGTCGGGTGCTGTTCCACTTAGATGGATTGCATTCTTTGTAAGCTTCTAATTACCGAAATTTTCAGATAGTTTAAGCCCGTTTGGCCAAAACTAAATAGGATGAAGGGCATATCAGGAACACATGATGCAAACGATTGTTTTTTTATGGTTTCATTGTTATGTTTTTACTGTGATGTATGGTTATAGCGTAGGTCGATTGTTGGAAATGTATCAAGATTCTATTGCTATCCATGTACTCTTCTTATTTATCAGTAAAGATTTACCAAATTCTTCAAGTATGATGATGCTTTTACCAATGGTTCATCTGCATTATATTTTGTATCACTTACTGGGTAAGATTCTTTTCATTGCTATGTAAAAATAATCGTAAAACATTTTTTTCATTGCTATGTAAAAATAATCGTAAAACAGGTCTCACGGCTCAGTCATTTTCTAGTTTCTTTAATATTTTAAATAAACTTATTGAGTTATCAAAATTTTTTATATAATTATACCGAATAGAAAAAGAATCAAACGAAAACAAAGTCAATAAGGAGACAATAAAATTGACACATCACATGTGATTATAGAATATTGTCATTACAAGGTGAGTGGCTGACCTGGCCCGCGGCCTCAAGTCATGATCAAAGTCGCGCGAATCACATGTAATTTTATGATATTAGTGTAAAATCACATGTAATTCGACCGTTTTCGTATTTTTTTTCATTTATGCACTGTTCTTGTAAGAACCTGACTCGTATTGAATAAACTTATGTTTAAACATATATCTTTGATAGCTTATTTTAGAAAAAGAAATCATTTAAACTTGAACAATTTTAATTTTACCTTAAATTTTAGTTCAATCAAATATTGTATTTATCAACACGCTTGAAATCGGTTTTGAAGAAATGATTGCTTGATTTTGAGCTTTGAGTACTTTGATTTGCATTAATCATCAAATTCAAACATCTATTATGGTTAAGGAGAAAAAAAAGGCAAAATGGTCCAAAAAAGACCACACGAGTGCTTAATGAATAAGACAAAGAAAATGATAACCAAGTCTTGGTAACCTATACTTACAGCGGGCCTTATAAAGGGATCCAGATAATGGGCTCTTTAACCTATCCAACTTTAAAAAATCGTCACCAGTAATAACCAATCATGCTTTTAGTAACAGGGTTTTTATAACTAATTTTGACTCGTTTAAGTCTTAAACCTCACTTCAATTACCCATCTCTATATTAGAGAAAAAGTTGGAAAACCCAACCACTTATGTATGATGATTAACGGTTATCTTATGACTTGTATGCATCATGAAACAGATGAACCAAATTTGAACATCTAAATAACACAAAAACAATTGTTGATCTTGAATACGTTTTGATTATAGATTTTTTTGGACTTCTGCAAAATGAAAAGAAAATGATTTTGAAATGTGGAAATAAATCGATCGATCAATGGGTCTCACATTAATTTTTATGGCGTCATATCATTTTAAAATTGATCACTGTTTTTTTAGCGATATATTTTAAAACATGATTGATTTTATATCAATTTTTTTATTTGACTAATGACTACTCTCGGCTTACAATAAATTTTAGAGTCAATTATACTTTTTTTTTGTTGATATGTGTGGTTGAAACTCTAGTTTTCATCTCAACTTGGTTTACTATAAACGTTAACGGTTTTTGAATGTTTCGATGTTATTTAAAAACAAATTGACCAAATTGCCCTCCCTTTTCTAAAATATAATAAAAATTTAGCAACAAAATTTTCTTTTAATTGAGAGTGCTTTTCTCTTAAAAATACTTTATAATATATATAATTGGCACATTTTCTTTTAATTTAAATAATATTTCAATTATTATCTAAAAAGTAATTAGAAAAACTACAACCACCCCAACAACTCAAACACAAAACACCACCACCACCAAACAACTACCCTACAACAAAAACAAACCACAAACTCACTTGAGAATAAAACAAAAACCAAAAGAATTGTAAACTACAGACATTAAATCCATAAGCACCAACCAACCATCGAAACGACACAGTGACTCTTACAATTAGCTACGAACCAGCCCTGTTCAACGGCCTAGGATTTAACCTCCACTGGTCCCGACTTGTATTCATTTCGTTATGACGATGTGAAATCCATGGAAGAGATCGGATTTGTATCTCATGATATAAATCAATCGGTAACATTCTTTTTAATTTAGATATAGTGTCACCCACAACACCACTTGCTACATTTTACACCCTTTCTCTGATTTCGCAAACCTACCATGGAACCTCATGACACTTTCTCGATTCCTCAAAGCTATTAAAAGAAAATTTTCCTTACTTCATGACACATTTTAATACTCTATCCCTCCTCCTTCAGTTACAGTTACAGTAGATTCCTTATTCGAAGATTTCAACATCAATCATACTATAAAAAATTCTATAATTTTATTATTCAACAATTTTTTATTAAAAAAAACTTTATATATAATAATAAATGAAAAATGATTTCTTTCTTCGTATATTAAATTTTAACAAAAATGTTTAAATTTGAAGTTTTTGTTAATTTAAAAAATAATCTATCGGAGAAAAATCTTTTTTTATTAACCTGGATATCTAATCTACTATGCAAGCCGACTAATCCCAGATTGACCACCTGTTTTGCAGATAGACTCGCATTTGAACCTCCATGACCACAAAAAGGTCTTTGTTTCTCCTTGAATTTGAACATGTGATCTCTAGACACATTTAACCTTTTAAGGTCCAAATTTAAACCAATGAGATACAATCTTTATAGTTTAATATTTTATTTTTAAGGATGGGATAAAAATGCTTTGACGAATTTAAGGGTGGAGCACACATAAATGGACTTCCATTTGTGGCTCGTTAGTCCCATGTGATTGATAGAAATATTAAAAAGTGAAAATATAAAAAAAGTGAAAATAAAATATTTTGTCCAATATTCCGTTTTGTGCGTGCAAGTTGGAACTGGAAGCATGCGTGCTCATTAACATCTCTCACACATGTCTTTTAATTTAATCATATCAATCGGACCATAACAATTATTTTAGTTTTAACCTTAAAAGATTATGTTTTTAGTATATTAATTCATAATTAAATTAACTTTTAATCAATAAGGTACCTAATAAACTGATTATATTTAATAAAAATTCAAAAACATTTAATTATCCCGTGGATAAATTACTGATATATAAGTTTGTTTGGTAAAAAATAATCACTTGTCAGTCACACAGAACAACTCAATTTTTAAACCTTTCAAACCGACCGACAAAAATGGGGATGTCCAACTTGACGAAATTGTTTCAGTTTGATGTCGTTTACTGGGTTTCGAGAAACATCAATTGAAATAACAAACGATTGCTTAGTCGACTTTCATTGATAACAGAAGGGTCATGAATATTGGTAGTTACAGTAGATTAAAAGAAGTAGATAGTCAAGAAAATTCATAACTAGATTATCTCACAAGCACATTAGTAACAAGTCCACGGGCGTCAGTCATTACGTACGCTTGACTATAACGGGATGTTTACCAAATGATTATCGAGTAAGCCTTTACCGGGTGTGAGGATGACAAAAACAGGTAAAATCTTACCTGATAAGAGACATAACAATGACCAAAAAGCTTGCTTAATAATTTAAGTTAAATTAATTAGGGTGGAAGTCGTCAGACAGCCATTAGAATTCGTGAACAATAGTTTACGGACTGATTCAGCCACAAGGGATCGCTTCCCAATTATATATAATCAAATTCAATAGGATGCAAATAACCATCACCATTATTAACAGCATCATGATGAACCCTAAAGTCATTATGGTTCCATACCCAGCTCATGGCCATGTGACACCCATGCTTAACCTAGCCTTCGCCTTGACCTGCCACGGCCTTTCTCCAGTGGTTGTGATGCCGGACTTCATCCACCGGACAATGGCTCACAAAACCCACATCACCTGCATCTCCATCCCGGACGGTTTGGATGAGGAAACACCACGTGATTTCTTCTCCATTGAGTTTGCCATGGAGAACAACATGGCGGTGCATTTGGAGCGCCTGGTTCGTGAAGTTGACGGGGGAGTTGCGTTCATGATTGTGGACTTATTGGCTTCGTGGGCATTGAAAGTTGGCGATGACTGTGGTGTTCCGGTGGTCGGATATTGGCCGGTTATGTTTGCTGCTTATCAGCTCATTGCTGCCATCCCGGAAATGCTATCTCTCGGTATCATCTCGGAAACTGGTATGTAATCTACTTTTTACAACAATCAGGAGGTTTGAAAACGTGATTCACTTTGGCTTTATATTTTTTTTAACTATGAATAATATAGCCTACATTTTTATATTCATATAAATTTTATTACTTTATTCTATTTTGAATAAATTAACCAACATAAAGGATCTATTGGTACAGAAAATCCAAAAAAACTATATAAAATAACAATTAACGGGTAATTTATTTTACTGGATGAATATGGTAATGAGAAATGATCTTATTCGGTAAGAGCGGTGATAAGGATGAAGAGTCTTACCTAATAAATGAGTGTGACGAGTACTCTTACCCGAAAAACGTTTACCGGGTAAACTGTTGCATACAATATTGTTTTTGATGGACTACAATCTTAACCAGTAAAGTAAGTTAGAGTATTGACTTTTATTACTTGGTGCTTACTTGGTAACCTTGAATGTTTTTTGTGTTATATTGACTTATTCTTGATAATTCATATTACATTATATAATTTGGATTATGTGAGACCATCCTGTTATTCTAAAACCACAAAAATAAAACTAAACCATCACAATAAACCTTCATAGTGTTTTGCTGTGAATGTTTGGTGTTTTTTATGCCTCCACAATCTTTTACTGTGAAGGTTCAATATTATTTTGTGTTCTCACAAACATGGATTGGTCTCACGTGTCGTGAACCCAACCTTTATTAGATTACGTGTGAATACAGATAATCAAGTATCAATATACACCTTTGAATGGTTTCTTAAGGTAGATATCAATTTTCAAACTTTCATGGATAGAAAAACATTTAAGTTTGCCGAATTCAACACAACTTAGGCATGGATTCGTTTTCATAGAATGTTTGGACCATTAACTATTACTATCTAAGTTTTTATCAATAATCATTTGAATCCTATTCAATTAAATGATTATATATGTTGATAAAACGTGTTCCAAAATATGCAGGGATCCCACAAAATCAAGGTCCCATATACTTGGAATATGAACAACCTCCTTCAAGCACTCAAGATTTGCCATGGCTCATCGGAAATCTAGCTTCAAAGAAATCTAGATTTAGGTTTTGGACAAGGATGTTGGCCAGAACAAGAAGTCTTTCGCAAATCCTAGTAAACAGTTTCCCCAAAGAATACCTTGTTGATCTGAATTCACAAAATCAGTCTCATAAATACTCAAATATAACTCCAATTGGACCACTGACACGACATACCATATACAGAAACCATGATTTTTCAAAAGAAGATATGCATTGTTTGGATTGGCTAGACCAACAAAGAGAACGATCTGTTGTCTACATCTGCTTTGGCACTTGGGTTAGCCCGATTGGCAAAACAAAGGTGAGAAACCTAGCTATGGCTTTGGAATCGTCCATACACCCATTCATTTGGGTCTTAAATCCAAAATGGCGTGAAGGGCTCCCAAAAGGGTATATAGAGAGAGTGTCGAATCGAGGAAGAGTGGTTTCATGGGCACCACAAAATGAAGTGCTACAACATAAAGCGGTCGGATGCTATTTAACACATTGTGGGTGGAACTCCACTATCGAGGCCATACAAAACAAAGTCAAATTGTTGTGTTATCCAATTGCTGGTGACCAGTTCGTGAATTGTGATTACATCGTAAAAATTTGGCAAATAGGGATCAAGATGGATGCTTTTGCTGAAGAAGATGTTCATAGAAGTTTAGTGAAGGTGATGGAGGATATAGAGATGGAGAAACGACTAGTTAAGATGAATAAAAGAATCTTTGGGATGGAAACGAGCTTAATGGTAACTAGTAACTTGACAAATTTTGTTAACCACCACAAGAAAGTTAACTATGATCAAACACTTCGTAAAGAAAGTTAACTGAAGATGTGATTTTGGGGTTTTTTTACTTGACGTTAAGAAAATGCATATGAAGCCCACAAATTGAAGATCAAAGAATGCAAAAATGTGATATTATCCGAGTCAGACCCGAGTTTTGGAAATTCTAGGACATGCAATGGGTTTCTTCTGTATTTGTAAATATTTATGATTTTTGCATGAAATTAAAGTGTTACCGACTGCTATATATTTAAGTGGTCATGGTTTCAAAACTCGGCCTTAATACGTGTGAAGAATTATAAAAAAATACGATACGTGAAATAGTGTTTCTTATCAATATTAAAATCACATGTAATTATATATAAAACTACCACAAATTATAGGGGCTTAAGATTAAATAGTGAATAGTACATGGACTATTAATGCAAAATTTGAACAAGGGTTTGATTCCCATACTTGGCCGTCGGCCGATCAAATTTCAAAAATTAGTAAACATCAATGGCCGCCGGTTCTGCCGCTGTTAGGTCGTTTATACGGTCAACTTCCGTCCGTAGCGCCGCCGCCAGACTCTCCTCCGGCGTCAAAACCTCCCCCATTCGGTTGTCAGCTACAAAACCTTCTTCTCATCGCATCTTCAGGTGTAGTATAAATCACACATACACATGACAACCATTTGCATTTGATTAATAGCTTTCGTTGCTAATGTTTAAGGTGTCCAGTTGAATTGAGCGTGTGTTTGGAAACGGTGCAACCTTTTCAAGCAGTTACTTCTTCGGCCTTGATGAATTCCATGCTCATTCTTTCTCGTCGCAGCTACGGTTGGCTTCCTGAAGGTAATTAAAATACCACTATTCTAATAATAATATTTTGGTGAATAAAATTGATATGATGATATACATGTTCATGAGTTTTGTGTTTTCCGGTTGTCGCTGTAATCTTCTGTCATTGACTGATTGTTGTCTTTTCTTTTACCATGGGATGGGACATTTTGCCCATTTCTTTAGGAAGTTATGTTTCTTTCAAATTCAAAATTGATATGGACTTCATCTCAATGTTAGCACCAACATTGTTTAGATTTAGTTAAGAACTCGAACCGCCAACTCCGTTCACTGCCTTCTCTCCAGAACTCCAGTTTGGTTTAAATTTAGTTATTTATTAGGGTTTATTACTCTTGACTTTTTAAAATCAAACTTAACCTCTTGTTTCTGGGATATAGCTTAACTTGTTCTGTAACATGACTTTTTTTACTTAAAACCATATTTATTCGGATGTTCTTATTGTTTTTTTAAACTTTAATGTAGTATCATTGTCAAAAACCGTGCAGCCGAATGTAGCCTGAGAACTTAGATGCTGTTTTCAGTCCTTTCTTGTACTTCAAAAATTTGTAGCATTGATGTGTTTGAGGCAACCCATGAATTAGCATAGCATCAGAGTTCTGTTTTCTTCAAGTTCTGGAATGCGCAGCTTATCAAGAAAATACAGGACGCCTTCCCTGTTCTCCTGGATTAGAATATGTGACTTGAGTATGGAATACCTCGTCCTAACTGGTTAGGAATCTCTTTATGGTAACCACGAACTTCTCTAGATGTTATTTTGTGTCACGCTACCGAACCATGGAAATAATCTTTCAATAATGCATGTAAAAGACTGTTCAAAGGCTTATGGCGAATCCCTCATAGAAGCAAGAACCTTGGCACACCATGATCACTGTTTTTTTCTTTTTGCTTGAGAAGTAAATATTGACTCTGATGTAAATTGGTCGTAATTGGTGGTTTTCTATTGAATTGAATTGAAGAAATGGAATTACACGGCTTTTGAGAGGCCGGCTCTCTCCCTCTGAGCTTGCGCCCTTTTACAACTCACAAAACAGAATGAAAGCTAATCTAACAAACTCCCCACTATAAAGGAGCTGTTTCCATTATTCTATTGAGGAGGCTCTCTCCCTCTGAGCTTGYGCCCTTTTACAACTCACAAAACAGAATGAAAGCTAATYTAACAAACTCCCCACTATAAAGRARYTGTTTCCATTATTYTATTGAGGAATTRCCAAACTACCCTCCTCTTATTTACATCTAAAGTAAACTCAACTACTTAGACTTTCTTTTGTACGTAAAGTCAACTACTTAGACTTTCTTTTGTACGTAAAGTGAATAGTAGGCTTATCAGACTCCTGCCTCTTCTTCTCCCTCCTCCCCAGAAGAAAATTCCCATTTCAGAAAAAAAAAACACAGTATTTGGTGTTTAACTGTTCCATGAAACACTGCATCCCTTCATTTACTCTTTTGCATGGATGAGTACTTCTTTTGTCTTCTTGTAGGCACTGACTGAACTCAGAAAAGATCAAGAAACAAAAGATGGATGACTTGGGAGTTGTATATGTTTTGAAGCATTAGATCACTAGGAAATAGGAATGGATGAATGGTTATGTCCACATAGGCATCAGTTACTTGGGCAATAAGGAAACATATATTTAACAGATTATAAAATTTCACTACATGATGTCGTGTTGCATGCTTAACTTTCAAGCATCTGTTACTGATCATGGCGTGCTTGGCTATTACATTTCCAATACAAAATTAAGATCATCTAGAAGCTTAATGTGTGTGTATTTCTATCCTATGATTATGGGCTTCTGTAATTGCTCTTTTTCTCTTGGTCAAGGTGATTAGCATCTCATTTTACATATGTCCCCTCTCCTGAAAAAAAAGTTGCACTCTGACTTTGACATCCAATAGACTGCGATTCAATAATATGGATTTTCTTCTAATTTCAAGAAAATATTTGATAGCTACATTTAACATTATGACAAAAACTCCAAACAGAAAGTATTGGTGTCAAACTCGTAACAAGATCCATTCAATCATCAATCTAGGAAGTTGAATGTTTGAAAACTTGCGGCAGATTAGCTACTAGATTTATTTGTACAGCAGGCAGTCAAAGTGCAATTGTATCATGTATGATTTGCATGACTGATGACGAAAACGCGTTAAATGATTGCTTATATATAGTCTACACAGTCTTGTAACTATATTTCATGAAAACCAATATTGTTTTTGGTCTTTTTGAAGTATTTATCTGATGAGTGTGTTGTTTTGTGGTACTTGACTTTGTTTATAGGTTCATGAGAATACCATTCTTCTGATAAAGGTTGAAGAAGAATGCAATGAAATATGAAGTGGATTTGAGGGAGTTGAAGACATATATTAGTGGTGGTTTCTATTTATGGACATATATTTTCATGTTGTACTAGTGTGTTATGTTGGTGGGTTGGGTAATAAGGTTGTATAAGATTTTAGAGACAGTTATTTGAGAGTTTTGTCCACCAACAAATGATATTTGTGGTGAAATCAATTATGCGAGCAGAAAGTTTGACTATCGGCAATCCCAACTGCTCCCACATGGCAACCAGCCCTCACCTTGCAATTTGTTTTAGTTACATGTTTAAAAGACAAAAATAAGTAGCGAAACTATTGATTTTATTTTGTATAAAAAATTATATTTTTATTTTACATAGGAATACAAATTTAGTGATACAAACTTCTCTAGTCAACCTTTGTACTTTCAACCAGAGTCAACGCCTTCTCTTGGTGTTGTTGACTTACCTCCTCCTCTGCTTCAAGTTTCCATGGCATCCGTTGCCTATGCCATCGAAACATCACCAAACATATGAACGCTGCATCCACACACAAACAAACCCCACCGCATCAACAACTATTCAATTCAATTAAGTGTTTACATTTCTATTTTAGTTTGTCTGTTCCGCTTTCAAAAATAAGTTTCCATTTTTCATCCCACCCTTGATTATGAGATAGAGAAAGTTTATGTCTCTATTATCAAGAGTAAAAATGTCAGTTAGTTATTTAAAAAGTGTAATAATTACATATTTCATTATAGAAATGTATATTTTGAGATAGAGAGAATTAAACAAACTACCTGCAAAAATGCGGGTTTTGAGCGATGTGAGATTCCAAAATGCGGTGACGGCTGATGCTGCAACTATTTTCTTGTGAGAACAACCTCCCCATGCTTCTAGTGTCCTCAACTTCACATGTTCACCTGTATCCAAATGCATTAAGTTGTCTGTGTCTATTAAGCTAATTTGTTTGTTTGTGAAGTTGTTATATATGGGGAGTGTGACACCGGTAATAAACACTTTGAAGTGTTTGGATAAACAATTTATACCAGTGTCAAACCGGTAATAAGGAGTTTTTGAAGAAGTTAAACCCTTCTGATTTATAATACGTTGATAAGTGCTTTTATAGAAAAACATAAATTGTTTCAAATAAGCAATCTCAAACACCCCTTAAAGAGATGTTTTTTATTTATAAACTGAGTAAATTACGTTTTTCATCCCTGTGGTTGTTAAAAATTGCTGATTTCGTCCCTGTGGTTTAAAATTTTTGATTTTCATCTCTATGGTTTATAATTCATTTCTATTTTCGTCCATGAGTCCAAAACAATACTTCTAAGTACGAAAGACTAAAATAGAAATGAATTGTAAACCATAGGTATGAAAAAAAACAATAGATTTTGAATCATAAGGATAAAAGGGTAATAAATTATAAAATATAGAGATGAAAATTTTAATTTCAAAACCACAAAGACAAACTAATTAATTGAGATATTGATGAAAATGTTGAGGGTTCATCTAAATATTTATGGAAGACTACCGATTTCATTTATTATGATTAACATTATATATTATAAAACAACCAACATATTCATGGAAGCAAATAGTCATTAGACTAGATAGACGATTGAAATTGGTTTATATGATTTGTACTAATGGTTAGATTCATAAATGAAACCACCACTATATTATATTATCTAACCGGAATCCAATATAATGTGATGACCGTCAGAACTTTTGCTTTCAGAAATTATTTCACATGATTATTTTTCATCAAAGACTAATATTTAATGCATTGATTTAACATATATTTATTTCGTATGTGTTCTGTTTACCATGTAAAACTTTTTTTCTAAGTATTTTTTGTTTCATAACCATACAAAAAGTTTAAGATTGTGAAACAAATATAATATTAATCACCGGTTCCTAGGATTCTCACAATTTCGTAGTTTCTCAAATGACGAGGCCCCTATATAAATTATCGTGTAATGAATGAATGTCGAAGGATGTAAAAACATCCGTTCTCTTGACACGTTAAACCGAATCAATTTAGTTTGATTTGGTTATCGTTTAATGTACGAATCACAAAATAAGTCTGGTTCCGCTTTATCTTACCTTTCTTGCGTATCTGAGTCGAGTACAACGAGTAGAGTTTTGGGCCGGTAAAGCCGATAAAGAACCCTGAAAGATGCATACACGAAAGGTAAGCTTTCACCATCGATCAATACATTATGAATCGAGTCGAAAATGGTCTTACCGAGTGCAAAAAGTCTCTTGAATGTTACTATATGACCGTATTCGGATCCAAGAAGCAACAATGGTGCTACCTGAAAGCATACACACCATGATCTTAGAGCAATATTGTAAAGTGTAAATTGAGGTAAAAGAATCAATTTGGTTATGGATTTACTTTGAGGGTCATGGATGGTTCGCCCGAAAACAGATCTCTAGCTTTCGAAATCGCAAAATTTGCTGCCGGAAGTACAACTCTAGCAGCTCGCAAAACGTCTTCTTCTTTAAGCTTAAGTTCTCTCTTGCTTTCAATGCCGTTCCTGTAAGTTTTTGACTCGAAAAAGTTACGGAAAAACTGAAGATCGTGTGTCGAGATTATATGTTTTCGACATAAAGAACGTCGCTGACCTTTGAGCAATCGTATTCGAGAAGAACGAAACCCCCAAACAGACAAGACCCAGTTGAGATATCAAAGAGAGCATGCTGTAAACGAAGATCGAACCAGTGTTGAGCCGAGAACATCGGTCGAAAATTCGTAAGAATCGAAAGAGGGAAAGAAAGATGACTTACCTAAAGCTAATACCAGTTGCGAAACAGGAAGATAGGAAACAAAGTGATCCGAACCCGAACCAAAGTGATGATTTTGCTACATCATTCCACATTATCAGGTCGTTTACCATTAATCCAATTTGATCGAAATCATACCCATAATCATCGTTGTTTCCTTCTGCAAAATCAGAACAAAAATGGTGAAAAAGATTGAAGGTGAAAGAATCCAAGAACAGAATGGAAGGTGATCTTTTTGTTACTTGGGGATGGAATCGAAATCGATTTATCCTTCTTTGATCTACCACTATGTCTCCTTTTCTTGACCTTATTGTTGGCAACAACCAAATCATCAACACAAATCAGATATTTATCTTTATCTTCTCGAATCTCTTGCTCCACTCGCCTTCTCGATCTTCTGGTGGTTCTGGGTGAACCCACATTGGCAAAACGGTTCTTGCACCGTCGGCGAGATCCCTGTTGGTCGGAGATTTCTTCGGCGACGTCAAGACGGGTTTTGGATCTCTTTGCAGGGGAAGGAGAGAGGAGGAGGAGGTCGTGGAGGTTTTGGGGTTTTGGAGAGTTGGGGGAGTAAGAGACTAAATCAAGAGAGAGAACTGGCGGTGGTTCTTGGGCGGTGGTTCGAGCGAGACGTGATGCAGATTTGGTTTGGGATGGAGGGTTTGATCGGTGGCCGGTGGTGTAGGGCGGAGGTGAATCCATTGATTTGGTGGGAATTGAAAGTGTGGGTTTGGTAATGGTGGTGATATATAGAAAAAGAGTGGTTTTGTTGCAGATAGCCGTTGGGAGGTATGTATTTGAAATATATAGATGATGATGATGATGAAGATGGGGTATGGGAGTTTGTGCATTAGACAGACATCAACGGTAAGAAACCTTTGACAAAAGTTGCCATTTTAGAGGTGAGTGTTGTGGGGTCTATGTCATTGTCACCCATTTCCTTTTTATTTTTTAGTATCTACGTATTTAGGGTTGTTATTTGCACCATCACCTACAAAAAACGAAGTTAAAAAAGACTTACTGATAACATTAAATGACTTAAATTCAAAGCACGGTTGTTAGCAATTCAACGAGTTTAGTGTGACTTACAATTTATTCGATTAATTGTACATGACTGTTTGATAGTGGTTTAGAAATTTTGAACATGTATGTTATACTTTCTATCTTCTTCTCCTTCTAAGTTTAAAGAATTCTTCTCTCTCTTTCTTATTTTTATCTGTTTTAAAGAAAAGTTTAGTATAGCTGTTGAACAAACTTTTTTCAAATCTTCATTTAAAAAAAATAACGAGCTTTTGGAGATGTTCTTTTAACGATATAAAAAGTGGTTTATTCGGGGGTTTATGTAGAAAGTCAACTTTATTCAAACATGTCTCCTGCAATTGAAAAACACGCTCCCTTCATCTTATGAAAAAACCCTCCCGTCCTATATATACATATTAATCCACACAATCAGGCTTTATCCATACGAATATTTAATGGAAAACCAACTAAACAGCCACTCAGAGTAGAAAGATCGAATAACTGAAAAGATTCATTAGTTTAATAAAGTAGATTTGATTCAAGAGCTTGAATAATATATAAATAACCATCAAAACTATGTTCGATAAAAAGTATTTAATTCAAAACTCGATTACTTTAATTCAGATCCGCTTGTTTGTTTTATGTTCTTTGTGTTGTGAGCGTGCAAGGAGGAGGGAGGATGATGGACGGCAATGAACGTTCTCGTTGGAGGCGCGTCTTTTGTTTAGCGGGCGTTCACAAAGGGTCGGATAAAAAAATGAGCTTGGGAGCATTTGGTTTGATAGAATGTTTTTTAGGGATCTTATAAACCATACCAATTTTGATTGAATAAGCCATTTTCAAATAGATATCCATATCTATGGATATCGAACTCCCTTTGTCACATTGTTCATAAAATCCATGTTGACAAGTTAATGAGCTTTTTTATTATTTATGATACATTCAGACGCAGGGTTTCTGGACCATAGCCCAGTTTAGCTATTTATGATGCATCCATGTCTACAAAGAATGCTCTTTGGGACCCTGCAAAAGATTTTACAGTTCAAACTGGCAAATAGACATCTCTATTGCTTGTTTGCATGCCTCATGCAAAATGCTTTAATCCTTGCGAGCCCCTCTTCAAGAGCCGATGGTTCGATAGCAAATGTTACACGAATCCAATTCTTCAGTCCCAACACGAACCCTGCAATGCATCAATCATACATGATCAACACTATGTTATATATACGCTTATAATAGATTTCTGCATCAAAATGAGGTCGTGTTTGACTTTAGAGGTCAATAATTTAGATGATTACTTGGAGGTGGCCCAGAAAATTTTGATGACCTAACTGAAGTTTTCAACGGATTCACATGAACATATACTTATGGGTGCTAAACATGTGAAAAAAAGTCGAAATAAATTTGAAATACACTATATTTGACAAAGAAAGTCAACACATATCTCCCTTCCAAAACGGCAAAACCGAACTAGTTTTTTTCTTTTTAAGTATATAATATTTATATTAGGAAAAACTTATGAACACTCTTCACCACCTTTAGTGAGGCTTGAAACCTTAACCTCCAATGAGGTTTGGATCTAGCAATAACACGGATGCCATTGGGAAATTTGACCCTCCGGCAAAAATTGAACCAGCTTACCAGGCAGGAGGAGGACAGATTCCTCTTTAGCAAGTTTTGAGCAGAAGTCCATATCATCATTTATTCCTTGCAGTTGTGAGAAGTCTAATTTCACCTGCAATAAACATCTGCAAAGTCAAATACCTACAAGATTCATGGTTGGAAACTGGAATACACACACATATACATATACCATTAAAAAGAGAGATCCTTGAGGCTTTTGTAGGCACGTAAAGCATGGAATATCCTTAAGCCATTTGTAACACATATCAGCATCTTCTTGCAGTATGTTGATGGTCTGGACAAAGAAATCATCTGTCGTGTTCTCAAGAATTTGAGGAACGGCTGCCTGATCCCATAAATCACAATATTCAAGTGTCAATGAAAGCAACAAAAGGGTTCAAGGTAGCCAAAAGCAGAGTCCAAATAATGCAGTGTATACATAATGTATTTTGTGCATAGACCAGTGACTAAACAACTAATGATCACCACATTTGATCTGAAAATCCAAGGCAAGGAATGTCATATGACAAGTGATCACTTCTTCAATCCTGTTTTTCCTAAAACAAAAGTATTCTCTCCTTCCCAAAATAAATGCATTAATTTTCTCTGTTTCAACGCCCTCCATCAGCAACATTTTACCTTTTTCAGGTGAGCCATCTTCAACTCAAACAACTGATCTCCCCTCTTTACAGCTTTCTTGGTCCCTCTAATTGTCCGGCCTTGTCCACAGTGGATCTCTGGGTGGCATCTGACACCGGTTGTCAATAGGCCTCCCTTCGTCGTGGATCTACTGCTAGTTTCACCCGTCCAAATCACTGACGGCTCTCTTGGAGGTATTTGGAGTCTTTTGTTTCTGTGTTCCTTCTGGTGTTTGCCTCTGTTTTGTGGTCAAACGTTATGTTGCAAGAGATGAAGATGTTTTTGGGGTTTGCTTAAAGAGCCATCAATTTCAGGACTCAGCTGGAAGCTTGGCCGTGGCATATGGTCCATGTTAGGGCATCAACTCGTTTCAATGGAGTACAAGCAAACCATTCAATGTTAGTTTGACCCTTTCTATGTGACTATATAGCTATGTTCAAGCTCAATTTCAGTTACGGGTTGAATTGGATCTCTGATGGACTAGATAACGAGAGCTGAATGTTGGCAATTGTAGCTTGATCGCTTGATCTTTTATTTGTTTGTTTTGCAAGCCACGGAGTCTTGAAAGGTGTACACTTTACATGTTTTTTTAGCCAGTGTGTTGGTGTTCCTCGTGTGTTTTACAGAAACAGCTTCTCTATTCTTTTGACTAGAGCAAAGGACTGTGTACATCTTATCCCCTCCCCTCCGAGATCTGTGCATAGAATGCCGCTGCGGAGCAGCCACGAAATACCATGATAGATGAATAATATGTTAGAATAATCTGCTTTTTTGTGGCCGTAAGGCATCTAAACTAACACTACTTGACATATGGTATATTTACTAAGTGCACCCTTAATTATGCCTTAATGACATCTAACCTAACTAACTAACCAAAATAGGGGTTTCAGGTTTGGTCATTTTATTGGAGATGCCAAAAAGAACAAGAGATAAGAAATTCCTATCCATCTAACGGCAGAACTTGTGAAGCCTCTCCATCGGATTATTAGGATCATCACAAGAATATTGAATCATCCTAATGCATGGCTTCATCGTCTAATCTGAACCCTAAATCACCGATATTGTCAAGTAAGTTTTACTTTCATGTTCTTGTTGTTAGAAAAATTAATTGATGATCATGAGATGAACACCGTCAAATGTTTAATTTGATCGTAATATCCCAAATGTCAGTTTCGACAGGAGTCATTTAGTTAAATGACATTAAATGAGTTTTCATTTAGGAGCATGACCTTTTAATCCTTTTAACTCAGTAACGCTCAAATGACCTGGTGTATAACATTTTACCCCTGTAAAATCTTGAAAAAACACTAGAGGGTTAGTTTGTAGAAGTAACTTCCATAGAGGTCATTTAACTAAATAGCCAGTTTGGGGCAGTAGGAATAGACTCATGTAGGAGATTTTAGGTATATAATCTTAAATGAGATTTTAATTAAATCCATGACCTTCTCATGAGTATAGACCCATTTTTTCTTATATAGGCCAGAGGTCATGAATTTAAATTAAAACTCATTTAAGGTTATTTACCTAAATGAGTATAGCAGAGTATTCAGTGTCACACTTAGTGAGTACCAGGAGGACACAAAGATGTAGCAAAAACACCCCAATTTTTTGAATCAGGAAGAATTGGCTCTCTCTTGTACAATACCAGTATGGCAACAGAAAACTAAGCTTTGCTTTGGATGATCTGTTTCATTGAGAGGTTTTGCACCTTTAGGGAAAAATTTGTTATTGTGAATCATACAAACTTACAACCCAGTACTCAACATTGGGATTGAAGAACAAAAACATCACTTGCTTGAAGAAATGGAATATCCTCCAGCGACCATGGGGCTTTAATCCATGGAAAAGTTGAGTATGTAAGGCCTACTAAGAGAATCTTGGAACACCAGAACAAGATCTCTGGCCATAATGATGTTTGTAAAAGACTGCTATGTAGGTCATATAGAGACCATCTAGGTTGACAAACATTTGTAGTCTCTTCCTTAACAAGAAAACTAGGTGAATGATTATTCCTCCTCAATAAAGCCACCAGGAAATGCATTCTTGGTGTCATCCTTCCTATTAACTGGGTGAATGGAAGGATAGAAATGGTAATCTCGTAGATTCATCGACCGCTCAAGCATGGAGATATTAGAGAAGAACAAGTGAAAGTTAATCGGCAGCACCTGGTGTGGTTTAGCCATAGAATTCCACAACTTTTTTATTCTTTGGCTAGCAATCAAGGAGAAGCTAGAATGCAGGACAAAATGAGAGGGTAGAACCCCCAACTTGACAAAAAGTGTCTCCTATGCAATGATGACCAGAAGATCCAGGCACACCACTTTTTTTTGAAGGGTGTCCCAGGCTATGCCTGGACTAATCCCGGCAAATTGAGACTGTAAGAGATCAGCCCTGATAAACTCAGTGGCCACAATTGTTGTGCACACCACTTCTTCCCATTTCCACAACCCTCTTCTGTATGGAAGAGTGTGAAATCAGCAGTTGCGTACTTCAAGTCAAGAGGCAAGGGGAAATCTATTGGAAGGATCATCAATAGATAAATTCTTACGACAGTGGTCTATTTCATATGGCAAGAAGAAATGGGAGAATTTCTTATCACGATCCAAGGATAGTTGAAGCGGTGGTAGAGGTTATTCCTCAGCATGTATGACAGTGATTAAAGAGTTAATGACAAGGGATAACGTAAGAAAACGACAAGTTGATTTTCCATGGAATTTTCCAATCACTTTCATCAGGTACAGTCCATAGGTCGCCGCCTTGTGTTTATAGAGCATGGAGTCTGGTCCACAATTCTTTTTTTGGTTTCGGATGTATCCTCCTCTTAGACTTCAGTCTGGGAGTTTTTGGTAAAGGGAGTACTCTGAAACTAATTTCTTCTTTGATCAACAAATTATTTCCAGAGGCTAAGCTGCCTTTCTCAGAAAAATGCATTCTTGATGGTTTACATAATCATGTCAACTACCTAAAATAACTTTGCATTAGCAGGTTGGCTCAATGAGTTAAATATTGCTGGCATATTTTCTTTGTTGAATGTTACAAGACTTTTATTTGTATGTGTGTGTGACGGCATGGATACAAAATCATGTATACACACTATCGAAATCATACATATAGATGTCAATCTGAAGTATACATGCCCAATAGACTGTCACATTACTGTCAAAGAACTTCACAACATACCGATTAAGCTTTTAAGTTCATGACCAGGTCTTTTGTAAATTTACCATTCAGATGAACAATTAAAAAAAAGCAATAATTGGAAGTACAAGACCAAAGACTGAAGATTCCTGAAATGAACTAGTGTCATGTATCTATATGCAAAAAAAAATTATGTCTTCCAATTTTAGAGATTATATCATGGTTGCATGGATTTATGTCCTTCCAAACATTATCACATGTTTCCTCTGATAAGGATGTTGCATTCCATCATTCTTCATCTGCATGATTAGACAATTGATCTATTCATGAAATGAATTGCCATATTGATTGATGTATTTCATGAGGTCGTTGTTAATCAGATTCTGAATCAAGATAAAACTTTGGCCAAAATCGAGGTTCTAAGACAAACATCAAGAGCATTTTTTTTCTTTTTTTATAATATGTACATATGATTATTAGGGAATTTACAAGAACATTTCTTGGAAGGTTACCTTCCTGCTTGAAATGTTTGATCAGGGTTCCCTTCCGAGGATGTGTTTTAGGGTTTGTTTGGAATGCTTGAAATGTGATTTAGGCTTTTGGAACCTAAGGGCCTTAAAAACTTGAAGGGAAACCAGAAATACTAACTCCACCTAGCAATCTAGATTATACAAACATATAGGAGACTACTGCAGACATAGTAATTGCTTGCTAAATAAGAGAATCCTGTTCTCTGTACCTTGATTGGACTATCAAATTTCAAAACCTAGAACTTCACCTACTTTCATCTTCCTTAAGAAGACAATTATACCCTTCCATCTGGCAAATTTTTGCCTTGTATGTTTCAATGTTTTTGCGCCCTCTTAACTACACAACTGATTCTTACCGTTTTTGTAACTCGAAAGGAAAAAACACCTACTAAAATCAGCAAATGAAACTAGCATGGTACAACCCTTTATGCATAGAAAATACAATTTTTTTGCATCACATATTACTCTTTAACCTTCCAAGAATTGAACTATTAAAAAATTGCATTATTTGTTGGGTATTCCAGAGTTTTAGATCTTAAATTATTATGTTATAAACAACACTTTGTGCATAAAGCATTTGCATGACAAAAACTAAAGAAGAAAGCAGTAAAGTAACATGGACGAACAAATCATAATTTAGGAAAAATAATCTTGTTGTGCAATAGAGTTGGGGTCCTGGTTAAACAGACTTGACATACTACTGTCAAGATTGAATTAGGTCATGATGGGGAAGTGCTTCTGAACCTAGCTTCTGCTAACGGGATGCAACCGAAGCAAGATTACAACCGAATAAGGGTTAAAATATTTCCACACGTGTGTTATGGAAGGAGAAGTCTCGAAAAACTTCCTGTAAGTTTTCATCTGTATTTCCTGTGCCAACACTTGTGAAATACCCCATAAAAGTTGCAGGTACTACTTATACATATTTGATTCAGCCTATACTCCATGATTGCTTTCTTTAATTTCATGAAGGTATGTCGATATTGTGATTTGTGAAGTTACTATCATCACTCTAATGATACTTATAGTTTTCAAGCATGTTAACAGAAAACTGTTCATGCAAAGATATCAACCTTGAAGATGAAGCAGAACATGCTAAACATTTTCCTATAATCGTATTGTAAACAAAATCTTTAAGGAACATGGCTGAATTGTTTCAAGAAAAATCCTTTTAACTTTTAAGTTGCATACCTGTATGAATGTTGCAGCCTCTGTATTGGTAATAAGAGATCTCTTGATGCACTCAACAACCTGAAGGCAAAGTATAACTTTCTGTTATGTGATAAAGTACAGCCACAATTGTCTTTCAAATGTAAGTTGAGAAGAACCAGGTAGATGTGGAATTAACTATAGCATCCGGCTTACCATAAAATAATCATGGAAGAACTATTTATAACTAGTTTATTATGTAAAAAAAAGACGGAAATGAGCAGAACTTCAAAGTTTAAGTCCCTATATCTTCAAATAATTTCAGAAATATTGGAATAAACCGGATAATACAATAAAATAGTCCTGCACTTGCAATCAAGAGCTCTCCCCCTCCCCCACCATCCACCCCCAGCTTTCTTGTTTTCTACATGGGGTTAGGAGGGTAGGATCAAATAGAATGTGCAGAACTGAGCTATGAAATTGAATTAAAAAACAAAAACCATCCATTCTGTCATCGTCCATGCATTAACTAGAAGTCAAAATGTTCCTGGACTCAAAATATGAGATCAATATTGACTTGTGTGGTCAAACTGACACCCTTAAGGTAGTCCGCATTCGGGGTAGAAGAAATGAAAAGAGCAAAATCTAGGTAGTTCACTACGATATTTAGTTTTAATCTTCATAGGTAATCATATATATTAAAATGAAGAGTGGTCAATTCCACCATATAAGAAAAGTGAAAGACTCTTTTGCCCAGAATTGACGTCATATCAATATCTTTGGATCTAATTATATGTTTCTGCTACATCCTAATTATCATTTCATTTTGTACGGTTTTGGACTCAACATACATCTACAGAGAAATTTGGATCTCTATAAAGAAATTAGCAAGGAAAGAGAAGACATACCCCATGTTCTTCAAAAATGCCATCAGGATCACTTCTAGCTATCCAACCAAGCCTCCATCCGGGAACTAGCCATCTTTTTGATAGAGTTCCAAGGGTTAGAACAGGTGCAAGATTGCCAAAGACCCCCATTGACACATAGGAGTTACTTCCGAAAGTCAAATGGGCATATGCTTCATCTGCTATCACTAGTATTCCCATCCTTCTAGCAGTCTCAGCGATCTTTAAAAACATAAATAATTGAAACTAAGATAAAGGCAAAATATAGAAGAAAAGAAGACATAACTTCATAAGAGCAACCAAAAATACATACTAATTTGCACACCTTTTGTAAATGATCGCGTGTGAATACATTGCCACAAGGATTCCCAGGATTGATAATGACCATAGCAACAGTTTTATCATCCACCAATGTTTCAAGCCCATTCAAGTCAACCTCCCAATCTTTTTCTTGAAGAAGGTCAAAGTGGCGGACTTCAAGATGATTAAGAACGGCATGCGCTTCATATACTGGATAGCCAGGTCTAGGAAGCAAAATGTTTGCACCTGGACGGCTCAGTGCAGATAATACAACTTCAATTGCTTGCTTAGCACCGAGTGTCACATACACATCATCAGGTGATAGTTTATAAGGTAGGTTGCGAGAAAGGTACTCAGCTATGGACCTGTTGTCATATAAAATACATAATTATAGGGCTGTGTGCAACTTATCTTTGGTAACTGCAGATTGTAGTTTCTCTTGAGTGATTTATTCATACAATTTAGATGTAAGGTTGCTTCAAACTCAAGTCATATCAGCCAATCAATTTTTCCCACCTTATTGTCAGTGATGGATTTAGCATGCTTATTAGGGTCGCAGTTAAAGAGCTCAAAGAAAGAAACATGTGTAGTTTTCATAAAAAAAACTTATCAATCTCCAACAGATTAAAAGGATGGACACTATTATTGATATCATCCAGAGCCCAAAAAAGCATAACCTTTCATGACCTTTCAAAAATCTTTCAACAAAAATAATGCAAATCCTTTACAAATTCGACAACACGAATCCGTAAATCATTCAACAATAAAATAAAATCAAAATCACGGACCCAGTAATCCTAGGCAGAGGTATGATCTGGGGTACGCATACCTTGCCTCTACGCCTTGGGGTAGAGAGGGAAACCTATTATGAGAGCTATTTTGCCAGTTTCTTGTATGGGTTTGAATACAAGTAAATAAATTCACCATTTGGTGAGTGAATAAAACAAAAAAGAAAAGAGAATACTTCTTCAGATAATAGACAAAGACAACATTAGGCCTTTACACATTACTGCCCATGCTTAGGCCCCTACCCTGTAAACCCTTGCACTTCAAGACTCGAGCCAACATTCTCAGGCTTGCATGTCATGAACATTTGCCACTAAATGGAATCCTTTTCGTGCTATTACTATTTCCATATATAGTATTAGAAAGTTAAGGGTGGGTCTGGAGCCCCTTTGCCTTACTCAATAGTTCATGCCTGCCTATAATAACTAATACCCTTCGTCTAAAACATCAGTAGAATCATTGTTGTTTCCTTTGTTATGGGCACCTAAAATGCATATGCTTCTTTAAATGGAGCAAGAAGCCAAGACCTACATTAAAGTGGTTTGTACTATGCACTATGAACTTGTACCTGAGCTCCAGCAAGGACGGTAACAAATTCTGCTACGCCAATACAATCTTTAGAAAGAATTTCCTCAATTTGTTTACTATGAATGTACCCTTTAAAGGAAACGTTAGGATTTCTCTGTTTAATCATTTCTCACTGTTCAAGTCCATGTCTAGATGGATGCAAATTCACATCAGAACAAATACTTGAGTTTCTAGGTCAAGTCAGACTTCAATTTGTTAAAAGTATTTTCTTAATATTTTTGAGAAACTATGGATAAACTTTATATTATTCAGCCCAGCAATGCATATCCAGGTCAAACAACGATATGAATTTCTATATATGATCACAAGATTCAACAAACACTGGACTAAGCATGGTATAGAAACACCGCAGTCAGGAGTTGTACAAAATATAAATCGAATTAAACTTTTATTTGTGCTCCGATTCAATAGTCAAATTACCGAACTTACTGCAAAAGGGAGTAACAAGCATTAGAAACAGCAAAACAGGAAAGGATAGGCAGGCAGAAATAAAAAACAGTAAATGAAAAGTACCTTCTTGCTTGTAGAGCACCACCTTTAGGTGCATAACCATTGAATTTAGCAGATCGTAGAGCATCGACAACAGCATCTTCTGCAACTTGAGTGGTTCGAAAGCACGAAAAGGATGAAGGATCTCCATGGCTGAGAGGAATAATTGGCCTTCCATCACTTCGATCAAGGTTTCTGTTGACATCATCAAGAACACGTTTGATTGAAAAGGTTGCTGCAGTTCTCAAATTCCTATTCTCTCTGAACTTCCACTCCTTCGTTCCCATTTGGAAAAAACTTCAATCAAATCTCTCTTGCACTTCCTTTTTATACATTATCCCAAATCTTAATTTAATTTTTTTTCTTTTTAATTTAATTCATAACAAGAATATATAATTTAAAGGAAAGAAATTTTACTTCACTTTTCTAATATATAAAAATAATGATAATTAGATACAAATTACAATAAATAAAATAGAACAAATAAAAATTACTAGTTTCTTAATACTATTATAACCATTAGGGGTACTTGGTTCACAAAATGTAATTTGATGAAATTATAATTTATCAAATAAAATTTGACTTTGAAGGAATTATAATGAAATTTGCCCACATGATAATTGATTGGTAAAAATTGTAATGAAATCTCTCAAAAAAATTTGAAAAATCTCCCAACCACCACAACTTTTACTATTGTATCTATTTGTTTGATCTTCTTCTCCACAAGCCACGCATATGCGGACTCAATTTCTTTTTATATATTTATACACACACACACACACCATGCACAGATGCTTCTAAGCTTTTTAGACTCAATCATCGATTACCCAAACTTTTCTGGGTCCATTTTGCGTTGAATGTCATTTTTGCTTCTAAGACCGCCTGATCCTCTTTCGAGACCGTGGTCGTACATGGCCAGATGGCTTTTTAGCTGGCCCGTAGTCGACTGTTTTCAAACGGTGTAGACCCCTCTGTTTATCGTTTACTCCCGTATTGATTAGTTTAGCTACCGTGATTGCATTAGCTGGTATCCAACTTTATTCCATACACTGTCAAAACTTAATATCTCCGAACGTGATTTTCGATCAACCTCTTAAATAAATTTGCCATTTATATGCATGAACTCAAAACTCATCATTTTCGAAATTGAAGCATCTTACGACCTTTGAATAAAACGAGACTTGAGATTACAATCCCCAACTCATTAATCTATGATTTTAATAAGAAAGTTACAAGCTTAAACAAGAGATATATATGTATCGTACATTCACTTGATTATACATTAGCTTCCCACCTCTTTTGAAGCTCTCTGTCGTCTACCTTACTTCTTTGAAAATATAGATGGGGAAGAACTAGTATTTATACTCCCCTCCCCCCCTTTCCCCTACGTCATTGATTGTTATAAAAATGGAGGTAATATACATACCTTCCATATACCCCTCCATTTCCTTTCTCAATTTCCATACCATGGGGTAAGGTGGGGGTGAGTGACAGTTGTAATATCGACAATAATGGTGTTGTGGTGGGGGTTAGGTTAGGGGTCTAACAGTAACAGTAGTAACATGGTCGTAGTAGGGATGTGCAGTGAGTGACCGAGGGGTAGATGGGTGTGATAACAACAGTAGTGGCATGATTATTAGTGGTGGGGTAGGGTGGGGGTGATTAGTAGTGGGGGGTTAGGGGTGGGGCATGACGAACAATAATAGCATGGTCATGGTGGGTGGTGATTGAATTCAATTCATTCCATTATACCAATGAATGATGAATTCATTAATATGTGAAATTCAATGGAATTTGAAGGATTTCATCCATTTCAAGAAATGAACCAAACAAAGTAATTGGCATTTGGTCAAAGAAATTTATCATTCCAATTTTATCAAATTCCTTCGAATTTCGCAAACCAAACGACCCCTTAATTTTTTAAATAACAATGATATACATAAATAAGGATAATGATAATTGAAATACAAGAACTAAAACAGAAAAATACAATAAAAAATAGGCAAAATAAAATCCAAAAATAAAATTTAGTGGTTATTTTAAAAGTTATAACAAAAATGTTGGCCCCACTGTTAAATCGTTGCGTATGTATCATGTGGTCCATGAGCGAGTAAACTACATTCTCGGTGCCTCTTATCTGCTAGAAATATGTATAATTGTATATTCTTCATATGTTTCGTCTATCATATTGACCATCTTTATAGTTCGATTAACAATCATCAAAGTTTTAAATGGCCTGATATGACCGTGAGGTCAAATCTCAAGCTTTATAAATTGGAGAATCAATCTACTTGCAGAAGCTGAAGTCGTTAGGAAAGATAAGCAAGACCTAACTACCAGAACTAACCCCCCATGTTTTTTAATAGTTATGATATACTTTTTCTAAAATGGAGCATCAAAAGTTAAAATCTCTAAAAAAATTATATTCAACTTTAACAACTACTCTATTTTAGCAGTTCTATCATCAACTATATTATTAAAATATTAAATGCATTTAATAAAATATTATTAAACTCTCATAAACACTTGATTTCACTACCTCATATTGACCAAAATAAATTAAATATTATTTCTCTCTTTTAAATATGAATTTTTAGGGATTTCTTCAAATATGGAGATTTTTACCCTCTCTTTCTCTTCTTTTCTTCATTTCTTCATTTTAACACAAGGTAATTACATAGTTGTTGGAGAAACACTACAACAAAATCGGGTTTATAAGACACTCTCAATTTCTAAGCGTCCTAATAGACCTCTTTATAAGACTTAGTTTATAGGACCAAAAAAAATAAAATGTCCTATCTAAAGGCGTTGTAATAAGTTTATATGACGTTTTTTGACGTCGTAATAAGTTTCTTAAGACATTTTTAATATAAAGCGTCTCATTGAAAACTTTATAGGACACTATTTGAAAACTGTCCTATAAAATTAAGTTTATAGGACACTTTCACAAAAGTGTTCTATAAAGTTGCTAATGCGACACTTTGTATTAAAAATGTCCTAAAAAACTTGTTAAGATGCCTAAAAACGTCATATAAACTTATTACAACACATTTAGATAGGACGTTTTATATTTTGATCATATAAATTAAGTTCTATAAAACAGTCTATTGGGACACATAAAGATTAGGGGTGTCCTATAAACCCAATTTTGTTGTAGTGAAAAAATATAATCTTTAAGTCTTCAAAATCTCTATTTTACCATAGTTATTGAAAATGCACTCAACTTGTTTCGTATGGTAGTCAGGTATTGCTTATCTTTCCTAATGACTACGACGTTATGTTATTTTTTTGGTATTAACTTGAACACCGATTCTCAATGACTCGATGATATTAAATAATTACATATACATTATGTTTTTCTCAATATCGCTTTTCTTAGTTTTATAATTACATACATGTATATATATAATTTTAAATAACATACATATGTTTTTTTACTCTTGTTCAATGAATTAATAATATTATACCAATTAAATTAGGTTATATACTAAAATTTAAAAGCAAGACACTAAAAATGTAAGAAATCTCATAATCGTATTACAAAAACCGCACACTAGGCTATAGTGTGTCACATGTTTAACGTAGCATGAGACACGGGCTTTGAATTACAGCAGATGTCGTGAGGACCTTTTAAAACGTTGGATATACATATAAAGATATCTATGTATTTATAAATATATTATAAGTTATATGTTATATATATATATGTATATAAAAAAAATTATATATATTTCAAATACATTTAATACAGTGTAAATGTAAAAAGTATATATTATAGGATTAAAAAATAAAAAATATATATATTATATTTATGGAGAACCTTATTTTAAGAACCAGTAAAATTGTGATAACCTTGAAAACTTGTGCATCATGTGTTATTTCATATGATTTTTTTTCCATCTAAGATTAGAATTTAGAATATTGATTAACTTATATTTAATTAACACACCCGGTTCACAATGTGAACATTTTTTTACGTGTTTGTGAAACAAAAAATACACTAAAATATTTCATATTGTAAACCAAATACATACAAAAGAAATACATTATGAAACAAATATATGTTAATAAATACATTAAATATCATATTAGAAAGAAAAAACCATATGAAACAAAACCTTAAGGTAAAAGTTCTCATGGATCTTACAACTTTTGAAGTTCTCAAATGATTAAGCCCCTTAAATTTATAACACACACACACACACACACACACATATATATATATATATATATATACATACACGTGTGTGTTATTATATTTATGAAAATATACGTATATAGAGGAAGGATAATGCGAGAAGTTAAACATTTTACAAGAAACCGAGAAATTTCAATATCATATATATTTACACTCATTTGGCTGTATTTAATCATATATGATTAAACGTCTACGTGTCGTGACTACGATTTTTTAATAAAAAGTTAAGTCTTGTAATGGTTGATATCGTATCTAGAGATATATAAAAGATCAATTAACTAATTTTGGACTGTTAAGAATCGATGATCAATCCAAAAAATGACCACTTAAAGATTGGTTATAGGCGAAAGATCGTTTTAGTTCTAAAATTTGAACATGTGACTAGTGATTAACTGGTTTTAGAACACCGGGATAAAGCTCGAAAACCAGTTCTTAGTTAACCAAAAACAGGTTTGGTTAAGGCTTGTTCAAAGCCCGGTCAAAATCAGAAAAAAGTGGTCAAGACCCGATGATTTTACTCGAATTATTTATTATGACTAAAAAAGAAAAATATCAAAACAATAATTTGTGGTTATTAATAGTGAAATTAATGCGAGAAAAAATATATAGAAGAAAATTTTGAATACATGTTTCCGTTATTTCTGTGTGACTCGACTTTAATTAAATGCAACATGCAATACAAATGAAGTCAGAGTTTATTAAAAAAAATATTCATTTTAATCACTTAAATAACATTAGAATTGATGAAAAATTATTCAACAAGATAAAGAGAGAAAAGAACTCAAATTGAATATACAATGAATTAATATTCAAAAGAAAAACGAAGATGTCAAGAAAATTATTAGTTTATAATATCATAGTTTGACTAATTTCTATATCTTACAATAAATTAGATTACAATTAAATGAGAATTCTAAATATTTTTGAAAATAATTATCAACTCCATTCATTTATATATGTATTTGTTTTCTTCAAATCTAATTTTTTTTTAAATCCAAATTAAAAGGAATGGTTAAGGGGTCGTTTACCAAACACTTACCAAGTAAGCGCTTATCAGTAAAATTTAACACTATCAATTATCTACCGGGTAAGATTTTAGTCCACCAAAACGATATCGTATATAACAATTTACCCAATAAGTGTTTACCGTGATAAGAGTCGTCGTCATCACTTATCGGATAAGACTTTTGATCATTGTCTCGTTCTTACCGGGTAATATTATTGGTCCTTATTATATTCATTTGATATGGTAATGTGACTTGATAAACGTTTACTCGGGTAAACGTTTGGTAAATGACCCCCTAAGACTAGTTAAGGATTGGTTAAGACCACCTATCTAAAATCGGTTCTAAATTTTTGACTAATGACCGGTTAAGGCTGGTCCGGTCTTTTTTTTTTTCTGGCAGATCAATGATCGGTTAATTTAGGTTGATTAAGACCTGGTATTGGTGCATCTCTAATCACAACAATACTTTTTATTGAGTGGCAATGTATAATATAAGAATTATGAGGTATAATTTATTAATATTTTTTTGATGTTTTCTTAAATATGTTTATAAAAATAGTAGCAATAATTTATTAAATGAGATTTTTGTTATAAAAAATACAAGTTAGACCCTGACATTTGTATGATTTATGCAAAAACGTGGCAGATGCTAACACAGCGATTTCCTCTGTCAAGTAA